TATAGGCGTGCGCCTCTGCCTCTGCGTTACGAGATGCGCTGAGGAGCTGACCCCAGCTTACTGTAGCCTAGACAAGGACTCAGCCGACTGAGCTGCAGTTCCGGCTGTGTGCTGTTCTCCTTGGAACTTGCTTTTAAGTTTTGTCATGGAGGCCCAGTCAGTCACCTTTGGTCTGGAGCTAATCTGGCTGCACCGTAGCCTGTGTCTCCGGGAGTCTCAGCGTTCTGGCTGCTAGGAATGCGAACTATTACCAGACATGCTCTTCCATAGGGCATTATCTGGACTTCAGTTTCTGTACAACACACATGCTCATGAGGACACAGCTGACCACCCAAGAGAAGGCTCAGTGGTGTCAGGAATCTCCCTCCCCTCCTCCCCCTCCCTTCCCCTCCCCCTCCCTTCCTCTCCCGTTCTCTCCTCTCCCCTCCCCTCCTGTCCCCTCCCCTCCTCTCCTCTTCTCTTCTTGTCCTCCTCCTTCTTCTTCATCTTCCTCCTCTATTTCTCCTCCTTCTGTCCCCTCCTCCTTCCCCTCCTTCTCTTTCCATCCCCATCTATCTCTGTTCCTCCTCTTTTCCTTCCTCCCAATGTTTCTCCTCTTCCTACACCTTGCTCTGTAAACTCAAACTGTCTCAGCTTCCAAGACTCAACTTCTGAGACTCGGGTGGGACCCGCACAGACTCTGTGTCTCCCTATGCATATGGCAGATTGAAAACTGACTACAGATGGTATGGGTTAGAGTTAACAAGCATGGGGACCTAAATTCAACCCCCTAGCCAGGCATAGTGACACAAGTTTGTGGTCCCAGCCCTGGGTCACAGAGACAGGAGGATCCCCGGGGCCTACTGCCAGCCTACATAATGAATACTCTCCAGGCCAGTGAAAGACTCTCAAAAACAAACAAGGTGCATGACACCCAAGGGACACCTGAGGTTGACCTCTGGTAAGAATGCGCGCGCGCGCACGCGCGCGCGCGCGTGCACACACACACACACACACACACACACACACACACACACACACACACACACGAGTACATGCCCACAAGCACAGAAGGAAAAAAAAAGGCCGTTGACCGGGCAAGGGCCCTTATCATATTTCCTATGCACCAGAAGCAGCTGGCCACATAATGACAATGACACGGTCCCTGAAAACTGATCTGGTGGTATCTGGGAGACCACACCTGCGAGGCTGGACCTTTCTCTTGCTGATGGGGACATGTGATCCATTGACTGACATGAAGTGCCAGTTCATCCCCAGCCAAGATAGAGATGGAGCAATGAAATTCTGGAAAGCTCTCAGCATTACTATTCTCTCTCTCTCTCTCTGTCTCTCTCTCTGTCTCTCTCTCTCTCTCTCTCTCTGTGTGTGTGTGTGTGTGTGTGAGAGAGAGACGGAGACAGAGACAGAGACAGAGACAGAGAGAGAGACAGAGACAGAGACAGAGAGACAGAGAGAGAGACAGAGAGAGAGACAGAGAGAGAGAGTCTGTGTCCGGAGGACAGAAGGATGGATCCCTTGGAGCTGTAGAAATAGTGGTTGTGTATCACCTAGTGTGGTTCTGGGAACTGAACTCTGGAGGAGCAGTGAGTGTTCCTAGTTGCTGAGCCTCCCCTCCAGCCCCCACTATGAAGCTCCAAATCACCCAGGTTCTATCGGCTTAACTCCCCAAGGGCAAAGGGCTTCTACCAGGGAAGCAACCAAGGCTTCCACCCAGCCACCAGGGCAATAGCAGAAGAGGGTGTCCCCGGGGCTGCCTGTGCTCTTGCTGATTGTGAGGGGAAATAGGGTTGTGGCTCCCTGATACGGCCTGGGTGGAGTAGTCAGGAGGAGGAAGAACCCTTTGGTTGCTCTTACAGACCACACCCTGTAGCGAAAGACTGACTGGAAGCTGTCAGAGTCCGGGGGCCATCCTAATTTATTTTTCGTTTGCTACTGGTGGTGAGTGAGTGTACCGGTTTGTGAAGAGATGACTGTTGGCTGAAGAGAAACTGAGAAAGGGATGGACATCACAATCGAAATGTTGAACTCTGAAAAAGTACACAAGGCTTTTTTTCTTTTCTTTTTCTTTTTTTCTTTTTTTGGCTTTTTGGTTTTTACGAGACAGGGTTTCTCTGTATTATTTTGGAGGCTGTCGGTCCAGCCTGGCCTCGAACTCACAGAGATCCGCCTGCCTCTGCCTCCCGAGTGCTGGGATTAAAGGAGTGCACCACCAATGCCCGGCATCTTTTCTTTTCTTTCTTTGAAACAGGGTCTCACTATGTAGCCCTGGATGGCCTGAAACTCACTACATAGACCAGAGTGGCCTCGAACTCACAGAGATCCACCTGGCACAATCATATCACGCATCAATGTTTTTTTTTAAAGATTTATTTATTTTATTATGTATACAGTGTTCTGTCTGTATGCATGTATGCTAGAAGAGGGCGCCAGATCTCATCACAGATGGTGTGAATCAGATCTCATCACAGATGGCTGTGAATCAGATCTCATCACAGATGGCTGTGAATCAGATCTCATCACAGATGGTGTGAATCAGATCTCATCACAGATGGTGTGAATCAGATCTCATCACAGATGGCTGTGAATCAGATCTCATCACAGATGGCTGTGAATCAGATCTCATCACAGATGGCTGTGAATCAGATCTCATCACAGATGGCTGTGAATCAGATCTCATCACAGATGGTGTGAATCAGATCTCATCACAGATGGCTGTGAATCAGATCTCATCACAGATGGTGTGAATCAGATCTCATCACAGATGGTGTGAATCAGATCTCATCACAGATGGTGTGAATCAGATCTCATCACAGATGGTGTGAATCAGATCTCATCACAGATGGTGTGAATCAGATCTCATCACAGATGGTGTGAATCAGATCTCATCACAGATGGTGTGAATCAGATCTCATCACAGATGGTGTGAATCAGATCTCATCACAGATGGTGTGAATCAGATCTCATTATAGATGGCTGTGAGCCACCGTGTGGTTGCCGGGAATTGAACTCAGGACCTCTGGAAGATCAGTCAGTGCTCTTAACCTCTGAGCCGTCTCTCCAGCCCCACAGCAATGTTTTAAATGGACAAAGATGTTCCCCCTGCATATCTGGATGGGACTTAGTGTCACCTGCTTTCAGGGATGAGGTGTATTTGTGGCTATGACAATTGGAGAGGTGGAATAGAGTAAACCACCTACTCTCCTACATTTGGGCTTCTTGTGTTCTTTCTTCATGTATGTGTACATGTATTTATGTGTATATGTATGCATGTATGTGTATATGTATGCATGTATGTGTGTATATATGTATGTATGCATGTGTGTGTATGTATTTATGTGTATATGTATGTATGCATGTGTGTGTATGTATACATCTTGCCCTCCTGGAGATCAAATACTGTTCCCACCTGCTGATCCAGCATCCCACTATGGAAGTGTGTGTGTGTGTGTGTGTGTGTGTGTGTGTGTGTGTGTGTGTGTGCCCATGTGTACAAGTATTTGAAACCCAGAGGTCAACACCAGTTCCTCAATCATTTTTCACTTGTTTTGGAGATCACTAATTTGGCTAGACTGGTTGGCCCTCAGGCCCCAGGAACCCTCCTGTCTCTGCCCTGCCCCCCCCAGCTCTAGGATTACGTGGGTTCTGGGGGTCGAACTCAGGCGCTCAGGCTTGCTTGGCCAGCCCGTCACTGACAGAGCCATCGCCGCAGCCCTGAACTTCCTAGTCCCCCTCTCTATGTGACACCTAAGCAACGCCATCCAGTCTGTGGTTCCACATCACCCCTGCGTACGGATGACCCCTGAACCTGTCTCTCTGGCTCTGGCCTCTCCTGGGGTCAGACCTACCTTACCACCTCTTCATCAGCCACCGGAGAGTTCACAACGCTGTCCCATTGGCACGTGGGACACAAAGCTACGATTTATGGCTGTCAGCGCCCCTCACCCTCCTTTCTCAGGCAGCACAGAGGATGAAACTCCGACCTCCACTTTCCAAGGCTGGAATCACAGACCTGTGCCTCCACTCGAGGTTGTATGCAGTGTTGGGGCTGAACCCAGAGCTCAGCGCGCGCCAGGGAGCACTCAGCGCGCGCCAGGGAGCACTCAGCGCGCGCCGGGGAGCACTCAGCGTTGCCAGGGGAGCACTCAGCGCGTGCCAGGGAGCACTCAGCGCGCGCCAGGGAGCACTCAGCGCGCGCCAGGGGAGCACTCCACCAACTGAGATATATCCCTGGCCCCAGAGTAGAGTTTCTAAAATCAAAGGACTCAGGTTCAAATTCTTACAGAGCCACAGTTCTGTGATACCCTTCAACATGCTTTCTTGAATAGTTTTTACATTTTTCTGCGTGTGTGTGTGTGTGTGTGTGTGTGTGTGTGTGTGTGTGTGTGTAGATCAGAAGACAGCTTACTGGGGTCAGTTTTCTTACAGGACTGAGCTCAGGGATCAAGGTCGATCTATAAGGGTTGGTGGCAAATGCCTCATCCCTTAAGCTGTCTTTGGCATCCCACCTCAAGCTTTAACTTCATAGTGGGGGTCCACCTTTGAAAGGTAAACAAAACACCTTTCATAGAGCGTTCCCCCTCCGCTTCTCTGTCTTTCCCTTCCTCCTTCGGTCCCTCCTAGGGTCTCGTCCTTTCTGCTTTGCTCCTCTCTTGGCTCAGTCCGTAAAGACCCTTTGAAATTTGGCGGGAATTAGTACCAGTCCGGAGGATGAGCACCGCGCAGGCGCGGAACCCCTCTTTCCTCTCGCACGCTAATTTTGCAGCCTTGGCAACCAATCAGAGTCAGCCCAGGAACCCGTGGCGAGAGGGGGCGGGGACAAGGAGGAGGGCACGCGCAGCCCTGGCACAGTGGGGACCAATGGCAGAGGCGGGAGGCCCGGCGACGGTGGGGCGTGGCTCTGGAGGCACCAGCCTCCGGAGGCCGTCCCGAGTCGGGCCAATCAGAGCGGGGAGGTGGGAGGGGGCTGGCCAATCAGCGTGCAGAGCAGGACGAGGAAGGGGGCGGCGGCGTCTCGGGCGGTCGGGGCTGCAGGCGCTGGTGTCAGGGTTCCCGGGCGTGCGAAGGCGGCGGAGGCGGGAAAGGCAGCGAGCGGTTCAGGGCGAGCGGCCGCTGACTTTGCAGAGCAGCTCGCGGGAGAGATGGTGATGGCGGCTAAGAAGGGCCCGGGCCCAGGTGGCGGGGTCGGAGGCAGCAAGGCGGAGGCCGAGGCGGCTTCGGAGGTGTGGTGCCGCCGGGTGCGGGAGCTGGGCGGCTGCAGCCAGGCCGGGAACCGCCACTGTTTCGAGTGTGCCCAGCGCGGGGTCACCTATGTGGACATCACCGTGGGCAGCTTCGTCTGCACCACCTGCTCCGGCCTCCTGTGAGTGGATCCCGGGGAGAGTGGCTTTGGGGTGAAGGGGCTCCGCAGGAGCTCGGGGCGGTCCGGGAGGCCGGCGTGGGGGGACCCCGGGGTTGGACGTGGTGGTAGAAGGTCGTCTGCCGCAGAGATGTGCCGCGGGGCAAAGGGAGACGGCGCGGGCGGACGGATAGGCGAGGCTGGAGTCGGGTTGCGGAGCTTAGGACGGGGGCTGTGGAAGGACGCGAGGAGTGGGTTGGAGAAACTCCCCCCGAGGGAGGCGAAGGCAGTTGCAGGTGGGGAGAATCGAAAGGAACTGGGTGGGGGTGGGGGACTTAAAGGGCCAGAAATTGACCCAGACCTTAAAGGGAACTTTAGCTGGGGATGCATTCATTGTACCTCAGTTGGCAGAAGTGCTTGTCTAACATGCTCCGAGCCCCGAATTTCCATCCACAGCACTGCATAAATACCGAGTACTGTGCTGGTGCTGGCCTGCAATCCCAGCACTGGGGAGTTCAAGGCCAACTAGTGATACTTGAGGCCCCCTGCCCCCCACAAAGAAGGCAGTGGGGTGGGGGGGTGGAAAAGAAGTAGGGAAACCGAGCTTAAACCAGATGTGTCCTGTTCCTTCTGGTTTGTGTGTCTCCAGTGGTGCGATGTAGAAGGGAATGGAAAACGCTACGTGCTTTAGTCCAGGTTGACAGCCGAGAGTAGCAGGTACCAAGCCAGGGATCAGGTGCAGATCCTAATCTTTCAGAGCTCTGGAATGCTAGCTAGACGGTAGTCACCTTATGAAATCCAATAAGGGCAGAGCGCCAAAGGGTTATTCTGGCGAACAGCTCAACTTTCCCGATGAGGAGCAGAATGGGATATTCTTTTCTTTTCCCGTTTTCTGCCTCCTTTAAAGTTACATTTTGTTTCTTTGTTTTGTGTTGTGGGGGCGTTAGGGTCCCCGGCTTGTTGTGTGGGGATCAGAAGACAACTTGTGGGAATCAGCGATTTCCTTCCAGTGTGTGGGTCCTGGGTCTCAAACTCCGGTCCACAGGCGTGGCTGCAAGTGCCCGTACTTGCTGAGCCAACTCAATAGTATTGTTTTTTAATGAGATGGAGTCTCATACAGTCCAGGCTGACCTTTCTTGTTTGTTTTATTTTCTTTTTTTTTCCGAGGTGAGGTTTCTCTGTGTGTTGCCCTGGCTGCCTTGGAACTCGTTCTAGAGACCAGACTGGCCTCAGACTTGTGGCAGAGATCGTCCTGTCTCTGCCTGCTGAATACTGGGAGGGATTCAAGGCATGCATCACTGCACAGCCCAGGCTGACCTTTAATTCACTGTAGAGCTGAGGCTAGCTTTGGAGCCCTGATCCTCCTGCCTCCACCTCCCAGGGGCTGCACACACTGGCATCCTCAGCTGCGGTTATTCTTAAGTGCACAGAGTCTCATAGTTTGGGGGACAGTGGCTTGGTTGTGACATCCACAATGCTACTGCAGCACGGACACTGTTTATTCATGCCCTTTGACTTGTGATAACATCGATTCACCAGATTTGGTATGTAGTAAGCTCCCGCCCCCCAGGGAATTGTTTGATTAACATCAGGCACCACTTCGGTTTGTAGGAATTTATCTTGCCTAGTTTTCTAGTGTTATTTTAGTACAGTGCTATTCTTTTTTCAATAAGGAAAATTCTCCTGTTCTTATATGCATAGCAGCCTAAAAAAAAAAAAAAACCAAACCAGGGAGTATTGTTCTTACGTGACAGATGGGAGATCAAATGCAGAGAGAGGTTTAGTAATTTACCCAGTGCCATATGGAGGATCCTGTTCAGTGTTTGTTATTTAGTGTGAGTTATGAGACCAGAAATGAGGAGCCAGGTGTCCTAGGAGGCAGTGTGGAACTATATCTCTACTTCATTGTTACCTTTTTCAAATTTCTATGTTCTTTTTTCTTCTTCTGTTTTGAGACAGTCTCATGTAGTCTGGCTAGCCTTGACTATGTAGTTGAGGACGACTTTAAACTTCTGCTCCCACCTGAGTGCTGGGATTACAGGTGTGCACCAGCCTGGCTTGTGAGCCGCTAGGGTCCAATCCAGGCAGGTCTGAATGCTGGGAGTGCACATGCTGAGCTGTGGCCCCAGCCCCCTCTCTGTTGCCTCTCTCTGTTGAAAGTGATTTTTGACCAGGTGGCAGTGGCCTTTAATCGAAGCACTCGGGAGGCAGAGGCAGGCGGATCTCTCTGAGTTCAAGGCCAGCCTGGTCTACAGAGTGAGTTCCAGAACAGCCAAAGCTACACAGAGAAACCTTCACACACACACACACACACACACACACACACACACACACACACACACACAGAGGAAAATGCATGGGTTTGAGGGGATGGCTCAGTGAACAGAATACTTGCTGTGCCGGCCATGAGGACCTGAGTTTAAATCCACAGTACCCAGGTAGATGCCAGGAGGGCGTGGTAGCTTGTAATCCTAGCACTTGGGAGGTGGCATAAGGGGTCCATGGGCAAACTGGCTAGCAAGACTGGCTGAATCAGTGAGCTTCTGATCCAGGACACACACACACACACACACACACACACACACACACACACACACACACACGCACACACGGCCTCGATATATAAGGTGGAGAGCAATCGAGGGCGGCCCCCAGTGTCAGCCACTGGCCTCTGCACACACGCACACACACAACACGGGAACATGCATGCACGCAGATCCACCCTCCCTGCCCTCAAAGGGGAGTAAGTGCACTATAGCACGCAGTGAAGAACACAGCACACGTCTTGAATGGGAAGGGAGTCTGTTTTGTTTCTCTGATGCTTTGAACTTACACATGATAGGCAGGTGCTCTAAGAGTGAACCACACCCCGCAGTGCTGGAAAATCAAATTATAGCATGGCATAGGAGTGAACCGAGCCTAGCCGTAGAGCTAGGTCCTAGAAAGAAACTGCCAGGAGAAACACTAAGTTTTTCACGTGGTTACTGGTGACGGCACAACAGATAAAAAACTCACGGAGGGCTGGGACTGGAGAGATGTTAAAAATACTTGTTTTAACCCGGGCCTTGGTGGCACACGCCTTTAATCCCAGCACTCGGGAGGCAGAGGCAGGCGGATCTCTGTGAGTTCGAGACCAGCCTGGACTACCAAGCGAGTTCTAGGACAGCCTCCAAAGCCACAGAGAAACCCTGTCTCGAAAAACCAAAAAAAAAAAAAAAAAAAAAAAAAAAACTTGTTTTACTAAGACCCAGGTCCAGTTCCCAGCACCCACATGGCAGCTCCCAACTGTCTGCGACTCCAGTTCCAGGGGGGCCTCACCCTCACACAGACAGACATGCAGGAAAACACCAATGCACATAGTGAACCTTAAAAAAAAGTAACAACAAAACCAGTGAGTAATGAAAAACCAAACCCTCAAACCTCTGCAAGCAGGGAGTATATCTCTTTTGGTAGAGCGTTGGTCCGTGTAATTTTGTCTTGAATCCTCACACTGTGGAAAACTCCCCGTCACTTGGGTTGACACAGGAGGATAAAAAGTTCAAGGTCATCTTTACCTGCTTAGTGAGTTTGGAATCCATCTGTGATCCAGGAGATTGTCCTTTAAAAAAGAGGCAGATCGAGGGAGAGGCTCAGCTGCCAAGTCTGCTGCCCTGAGCTCAGTCCCTGGGATGGGGGTGGGGGAGCTGATGCCCCAGGTTGTCCTTTGACCTCTACACATAGGCCTTGGCATGGGCATGGAGAATAAATAAATGTAATTAAGTTGGAGAGCTGGGCAGGGTCTCGCTATGTAACCCAGGCTGTCCTAGAACTGGTCATATAGGCCAGGCTGGCCTCAAGCTTAGAGGGCTGGCCACCTCTGCCTCCCACTGCTAGGATAGCAAGCGCCCACTACAGTTTAAAAAGACAGAGCTCTGCATGAGCAGGGAGTGCTGACGCTGTTACCACTGTTTTCTAGACTTGTGTTTCCAGTGCCCCCGATAACCTTCATATTCTATAACGAATGCCCCTCAACCAGGACAGAAGGGAGGCGAGGGCATCTAGGCCGGGATAAAAACCTGATTTCTTTGGCTGGAAAAGTTAACTGCTTCCAGATCCGTGCACAATGTGTAGAACCTGCACCTCTCCCCGAGGTCACTGTTGTCGCTGTCGGTCTCGCTAATGAATAGCTGCTGAGACGACTCTGTGGGTAAAGGCGCTGGATTCCCTGAACCCCTTGGTGGGAGGACAGAACTGACTCCAAGTTGTCCTCTGACCTCCCCTGGAGCACATGGTACATCTGTACTGAATGTGCACACACTATACACACACACACACACACACACACACACACACTATACACCATACACCACACATACACACCACACACATACACACACACACCATACACCACACACACACCATACACCACACACCATACACATACACACCACACACATACACACACACCACACACCATACACATACACACCACACACATACACACACACCACACACACACACCATACACCACACACATACCATACACCACACACACACCATACACCACACACACACCATACACCACACACACACCACACACATACACACACACACCACACACACGCACACACCACACACATACACACACCACACACACACACACCATACACCACACACACTCCCACACACCACACACACACACCATACACCACACATACACACTCACACACACACCATACACCACACATGCACACCACACACACACCACATACTCACACACACACACACACACACAGATGTCTAAGGACTGGAGGGATGACTCAGTGGTTAAGAGTACTTGATGTTTCAAAAAAGAAAAAGAAAAATAAAGAGTACTTGATGTTTCACATGGTGCCTCACAGCCACCTGTAACTCCCGTTTCAGGAGATCCAATGCCCTCTTCTGGCTCTGAGGACACCAGCCATGAATGTGGTGCATACACATACACTAGCAAAAGCATACATAAGAAAGTAAATTAAAAATCTTTAACAACATTTTTACCTGTT